GTCCGGACACTTTCCCCCCCCTTCCAGTCCGGACGCTTTCACCCCCTTCCAGTCCGGACGCTTTCACCCCCCTTCCAGTCCGGGGACGCTTTCACCCCCCTTCCAGTCCGGACGCTTTCACCCCCTTCCAGTCCGGACACTTTCACCCCCTTCCAGTCCGGACGCTTTCCCCCCTTCCAGTCCGGGACACTTTCACCCCCTTCCAGTCCGGACACTTTCCCCCCCTTCCAGTCCGGACACTTTCCCCCCTTCCAGTCCGGACACTTTCCCCCCCTTCCAGTCCGGACACTTTCCCCCCCTTCCAGTCCGGACACTTTCCCCCCTTCCAGTCCGGACGCTTTCACCCCCCTTCCAGTCCGGACACTTTCACCCCCCTTCCAGTCCGGACGCTTTCCCCCCTTTCCATTCCGGACACTTTCCCTTCCAGTCCGGACGCTTTCCCCCCCTTCCATTCCGGACACTTTCCCCCCCTTCCTGTCCGGACACTTTCCCCCCCTTCCTGTCCGGACACTTTCCCCCCCCTTCCTGTCCGGACACTTTCCCCCCCTTCCTGTCGGACACTTTCCCCCCTTCCTGTCCGGACACTTTCCCCCCTTCCTGTCTAGGGCAATTTTCAGCTTTTAGCGCTATCACACTTTGAATGACAATTGCGCAGTGTTAGATTTTTAGACACATATAATACTGCTTCTAGTGTCTTGAGGCGATTATGAATGAAAGAGCCATTGTAATAAAAAATGAAGTGTGATTTTATTCTATCACACAATGGTGTCCAATAAACAATGTAAAGCGTATTATGAACAGTTCCATGTAGATGAAACTACTGTAAAACTGACAAGCGAAAGTTCAAAGAAAAAGTCACCATTATCTGTCATGGCTGTTCTGTCTTTGCCATGTGCTCCATGCTCCATGCTGTCCTTCCAATGACTTTGTAAAGCAGGAGAAGCCGGATGTGACTAAATTGTAGCTGGAAGTGATCTCAGTATGCACCTGTTGCAGCTTCTCAGACGTGTGTATGCAGGAATCATGTGCTTGTGTGTATCAGAGAGAGTGTGTGTGAGCGTGAGTGTGTCCCTTGTCCGTTCCGATGGTCTTTTATGAGGCAAATGTACGTCATAGTTAGTGATCATAATACCTTCTATGGAAAGTATTACTGCTTAGCAAAGCCAATTCATAAAAGGGAAAGATGCTATACATATGATGTTTGATGGACAGGAACATATGTATGCTGATGTACCAATGATGTAACCCTTAGCTATATATTTAAAAGATAGTATAGCTTAAGAACATATCAATGTATAATCACTAAACTATATATGTATCAGTGTTAGAGACGTATACTAAATATACACAGAAAATACGTAATGTAATAGTAAGTCACTTCTAATAACCTTGACATAACTACCAAATACTTCTATGCCTAAATATCTCTAAATATAGTCTACTCAACCTTCAACTGGTATATACTATTTCAGCTTAACTTGTATACAGTTGCAAGAAAAAGTATGTGAACCCCTTGGGATTACGTGGAGTTTTGCATGAATTGGGCATAAAATGTGCTCTGAACGTCATCTAAGTCACAACAATAGAAGAACACAGTCTGCTGAACATAATACTACACAAACATTAGATGTTGCCATGGTTTAATTGCACATAACATGTAAACTTTCACAGTGCAGGGAGGGAAAAGTATGTGAACCTTTGGACTTAATAACTGGTTGACCCTCCTTTGGCAGCAATAACCTCAACCAAACGTTTCCTGTAGTTGCAGATCAGACCTGCACAACGATCTGGAGTCATTTTGGACCACTCCTCTTCACAAAACTGTTTCAGTGTAGCAATATTCTTGGGATGTCTGGTGTGAATCGCTCTTTTAAGGTCATGCCACAGCATTTCAATCGGGTTGAGGTCAGGACTCTGACTGGGCCACTCCAGAAGGCGTATTCTGTGCTGTTGCAGCCATTGTTTTGTTGAATGACTTGTATGCTTTGGGTCATTGTCCTGTTGCATCACCCATCCTCTGCGGAGCTTCAGTTGGCGGACAGATGGTCGTACGTTTTCCTGCAAAATGTCTTGATAAACTCTGGAATTCATTTTCCCATCAATGACAACAATCCTTCCAGGCCCTGAGGCAGCAAAGCAGCCCCAAACCATGATGCTCCCTCCGCCATGTTTCACAGTGGGGATGAGGTTTTGATGTTGGTGTGCTGTGCCTTTTTTTCTCCACACATAGTGTTGTGTGTTCTTCCCAAACAACTCAATCTTGGTTTCATCTGTCCACAGTATATTTTGCCAGTAGTGCTGTGGAACATCCAGGTGCTCTTTTGCAAACTTCAAACGTGCTGCAATATTCTTTTTGGACAGCAATGGCTTCTCCGTGGTGTCCTCCCATGTACTCCATTCTTGTTTAATGTTTTCCTGATTGTAGATGTGTCAACAAAAATGTTAGCATGTGCCAGAGATTTCTGTAGGTCTTTAGCTGACACTCTGGGATTCTTCTTTACCTCATGCAGCATTCTGTGCTGTGCTCTTGCAGTCATTTTTACAGGACGACCACGCCTAGGGAGAGTAGCAACAGTGCTAAACTTTCTCCATTGTAGACAGTCTGTCTTACCGTGGACACATGAACATCAAGGCTTTTGGAGATACTTTTGTAACCCTTTCCAGCTTCATGCAAGTCAACAATTCTTGATCGTAGGTCTTCTGAGAGCTCTTTTCTGAGAGGCATGGTTCACATCAGACAGTGCTTCTTGAAACCAGTAAACCCAAAACAGGTGTGTGTTTTTTAAGGGCAGGACAGCTGTCAGCAACACATCCAATATCAACACACTGATTGGAGTCAAGGTTGGCTCACTCCTGGCTCCAATTAGCTCTGGGAGAAGTCATTAAGCCAGGGCCTCACATACTTTTTCCTCCCTGCACTGTGAATGTTTACATGTTATGTGCAATTAAACCATGGCAACATCTAATGTTTGTGTAGTATTATGTTCAGCAGACTGTGTTCTTCTATTGTTGTGACTTAGATGACATTCAGAGCACATTTTATGCCCAATTCATGCAAAACTCCACGTAATCCCAAGGGGTTCACATACTTTTTCTTGCAACTGTATCTTTTGGTCTCAGCTATAATTGAAGAATAGTAAATACTACCATTTGTCAAAGACCATTCACACATATTAATATTAATTATGACTAATCATAAAAACCAAATATTTTGCAAGCTTGCCATTAATATAAGTGCCGAATCATAATTTAGATTTAACACGCAGTCATGCAACACTGTACCCAAATGAATTTTTTACCATTTTTTTGAGACAGATAAAGCTTTATTTTGGTGGTATTTATTCACCACTGGGATTTGTATTTTTTTTTGCTATGTAAATGAAATGTCCAAAAATTTTGAAAAAAAAGTGTTTTTTTTTATAAAATTTTGCAAATAAATAATATTTCATCATAAATCTTAGCCAAAATTTATTCCGTTATCTTTTTAGTAAAAAAAAAAAAAAAAATCCAAATTAGTTTAGAAGCAAAAATTATAATTTTTAAACACATTTTTTTTTACATTTTTTATTTTTTTTTTTTTTATATTATTTTTTTTACATACTGTCACCCTGGCAGTACAGTGTCACCATGGTGACACTGTACTACTTGTGGGGGGTGATGAAGATTTTTTTTTTTTTTTTTTTACACTGATTGCTTTTACACCCATATAGGATGTAAAAGCAATCATTTCTCCTTCTCTCTGTCTGCATTCTTGCACTCATTGAAAAGTACTGAGTGAGCTGTGATTGGTCACAGCTTGTCACATGGTACAAGGCTTTTGTGAATAGCCTTGTACCATGTGACCTCTGTGATCATTCACAGATTTCACACGTAGTAAGCAATGATGTCAGAAGTGACATCTTGCTTACTACTTTGCATGTGATCACTGATTGGCCAATCAGTGATCACATGATCGGGACCTCGTACAGAGGTCCCGTCCGACGATCGGTGTTTCACACAGCGGGCACCGGATCGCGGTGCTACGCGCTCCCAGGGAGCGAGCACAAGCAGGGTGCGGGGAGGCCGTTTATAGACGGCCACCCGACCCTGCAGTGCCACCGTCCGGCCGTTTATATACAACGGCCGGACGGGAGGTGGTTAATAAAGTAAAAAAGAAAAAAAAGAAAAAATTTAAAATAACAAACATGTTATACTCACCTGCTCTGTAATGCTTTTGCATAGAGCGGCCTTGTTCCTGGGTCCAACTGAGGCACTTCTGGATCCTCCTCTTCTTTGTGTGTCCCCATAGCAAACCATTTGCTATGGAGGCACACAGTGTCTGCACGCTCCCAAGCTGCGCTCCATAGACTTACACAGCGGGACTTAGCCCCCCCCACCACATCACCACTTTCTCCTCACTGCATTTGATTGACAGCAGCATTGGCTCCCGCTGCTGCTCGAGTGCTGTGTGAAGAGGAAGAGAGGGGAGAAGAGATGCAGCCGTGCACAGTGCTGGATCTCTTCTCCCCTCTGTCCTCCCCTTGCCCTGTGTGAATGGGAAGAGAGGGATAGAAAACATTTTTTTTACCTTAAGGCCACTTTTACACTGACGGTCCGATTGGGTCAGTCTTTCAGGCGGGCCCGATTGGACCATCCATAGCTCTCTATGGAGCAGCTGGTATCGTCAGACATGTGTCCGCTGACACCCGCCGGCATCTGATCAGATCCTGTATGCTAAAAACAGACAGATGGAGATCTGTTCTCCATGCGTATGGAGGATCGGATGACAGTCGGGTGGAAACAGACAGGCGCCCCATAGAAAACAGCGGGCTGTGTCTCTGTCTGCTCTGCATCAGCAGAGCAGACACCGACCTGTCATCCTCTTGCTCAGCGGGGATCAGTGCAGAGATCCCCCCGCTAAGCAAGCGGGTCCGCCCCGTCTGAAAGGGGCCTAAAGCAAGAAATGCATTATGGTAAAAAAAATCGGTTTTTAACGTTTTTACACAGACGCACGGGACGCCCAGCAAGAGCACAATGGCAGCCGAAGGCATATAGTGTGTCCTTGCATCAGATTCAACCAACTGTACAAAAAAGTGACAACCACCCCATAACTAGCCAGTGCAGCAAGGTGCACATGGAAGGGCAATGTACATCACAAAAGGATTTCCCAGCACACTTACCAGCCAGCCTGCAAATAAAAAAAAAATTATCAAAAATAATTGACCCCGTCTAACAATTCACATTAAAAACAGAGGGTTTTGTTTGCACACATTTGCAAATATATTTCCACATGAACTCACAAGAAAAATATCTCTTCACACACACACTATATATATTTTACACACATAGATATACGCTGTATGTTGAAATGCATTTGTTACAAATTATCTGAAAAATATTTGTAAAAATACATTTTTCAAATAGACTGTATGTCTTTAAAAATACATTTAATCTACATTTTTGGAATGTATTTACAAATATATGTTAAAATGATGTTAAAAAAAAATCTGAAGAATATGTTTAAAAAATATATATATATATATATTTTTCATTTATTTTGTAATATATAAAAAAAAGCGTTTCAACCTGCAGTGTGTATAGATTTTGAAATATAGTCAGGTCCATAAATATTGGGACATGGACACAATTCTAACATTTTTGGCTCTATACACCACCACAATGGATTTGAAATGAAACGAACAAGATGTGCTTTAACTGCAGACTGTCAGCTTTAATTTGAGGGTATTTACATCCAAAAATCAGGTGAACGGTGTAGGAATTACAACAGTTTGCAAATGTGCCTCCCACTTGTTAAGGGACCAAAAGTAATGGGACAATTGGCTTCTCAGCTGTTCCATGGCCAGGTGTGTGTTATTCCCTCATTATCCCAATTACAATGAGCAGATAAAAGGTCCAGAGCTCATTTCAAGTGTGCTATTTGCATTTGGAATCTGTTGCTGTCAACTCTCAAGATGAGATCCAAAGAGCTGTCACTATCAGTGAAGCCATCATTAGGCTGAAAAAAACAAAACAAACCCATCAGAGAGATAGCAAAAACATTAGGCGTGGCCAAAACAACTGTTTGGAACATTCTTAAAAAGAAGGAACGCACCGGTGAGCTCAGCAACACCAAAAGACCCGGAAGACCACGGAAAACAACTGTAATGGATGACCGAAGAATTCTTTCCCTGGTGAAGAAAACACCCTTCACAACAGTTGGCCAGATCAAGAACACTCTCCAGGAGGTAGGTGTATGTGTGTCAAAGTCACCAATCAAGAGAAGACTTCACCAGAGTGAATACAGAGGGTTCACCACAAGATGGAAACCATTGGTGAGCCTCAAAAACAGGAAGGCCAGATTAGAGTTTGCCAAACGACATCTAAAAAAGCCTTCACAGTTCTGGAACAACATCCTATGGACAGATGAGACCGACATCAACTTGTACCAGAGTGATGGGGAAGAGAAGAGGATGGAGAAGGAAAGGAACTGCTCATGATCCTAAGCATACCACCTCATCTGTGAAGCATGGGTGGTGGTAGTGTCATGGCGTGGGCATGTATGGCTGCCAGTGGAACTGCTTCTCTTGTATTTATTGATGATGTGACTGCTGACAGAAGCAGCCGGATGAATTGTGAAGTGTTTCGGGAATATTATCTGCTCATATTCAGCCAAATGCTTCACAACTCATTGGACGCTTCACAGTGCAGATGGACAATGACCCAAAGCAGACTGCAAAAGACACCAAAGAAGTGGAATGTTCTGCAATGGCCAAGTCCATCACCTGACCTGAATCCGATTGAGCATGCATTTCACTTGCTGAAGACAAAAACTGAAGGGAAAATGCCCCAAGAACAAGCAGGAACTGAAGACAGTTGCAGTAGAGGCCTGGCAGAGCATCACCAGGGATGAAACCCAGCGTCTGGTGATGTCTATGCGTTCCACACTTCAGGCTGTAATTGACTGCAAAGGATTTGCAACCAAATATTAACCACTTGCCTACCAGGCACTTATACCCCCTTCCTTACCAGGCCAATTTTCAGCTTTCAGTGCTGCTGCACTTTGATTGACAATTTGCGCGGCGGTCATGCAACATTGTACCCATATGAAATTTTGATCATTTTTTTCTCACAAATAGAGCTTTCTTTTGGTGGTATTTAATCCCACTGGGCGCTTTAATTTTTGCGCTATAAATTAAAAAAAGTGCAAAAAAATTTGAAAAAAAAAAAAAAGTTTATTTGTTTCTTTTATAAAATTTTTCAAACAGGTATTTTTTCTCCTTCACTGATTTGCGTTGATGAGGCGGCAATGGCATGATGGGCACTGATAGGCGGCACTGATGGGCACTGATAGGCAGCACTAAAGGGCACTGATAGGCAGTACTAATGAGGTGGCACGGATAGGCGGCACTGATAGACAGCACTAATTAGGGGTCACGGATAGGCGGCACTGATATGCAGCACTGATAGGCGGCACTGATAGGTGACACTGATGATGGGTACTGATAGACGGCACTGACTGGCATCACTTCTGGGCACTGACTGGCGGCACTGACTGGCACAACCCCTGGGCACTGACTGGTGGCACTGACTGGCAGCACTGGTGGGTGGCACTGGTGGGTGGCACTGGTGGACAGCACTGGTGGGTGGGCACAGGTGGGTGGCACTGGTGGGCACAGGTGGGTGGCGCTGGTGGGCACAGGTGGGTGGGCACAAGGTGGGTGGCACTGCTGGGCACATGTAGGTGGCACTGCTGGGCACAGGTAGGTGGCACTGCAGAGTGGCACAGGTGGGGGCACTGCTGGGCACAGGTGGGGGCACTGCTGGGCACAGGTGGGGGCACTGCTGGGAATGGGTGGGCGGGGCTAGTGGGCGCACAGCTGATCGGAACTTGCGGGGGTCACTGCTGGGCACCGATCATCAGGGCACTGATCATCAGTGCCCTGATGATCGGTGCCGATCCCCGCTCTGACAACTGCCGGTTCTCGGCAGTACTTTCCTCACGATCTGACAGCGTGAGGAAAGTGCAGCCGAGAACCGGCACTTGCATTTTCCTGTGATCAGCGTGTCATTGGACACCGCTGATCACGTGGTAAAAGGCCGGTGGGATCGGCCTTTCACCACATCTCGTGATCAGCTGTGTCCGTAGGACACAGCGATCACGGAGATCGCCGGGTGCGCGCCCCCTGGGGCGCGCAGGAGAGCGCGTTCTGGGAGGACGTCATATGACGTCCACTCAGAACTGGCCGGCCGCGGTGAAGCCGTCATTCGGCTATGCGCGGTCGGCAAGTGGTTAAAAAGTGACAGTTTGATTTATGATTATTATTCTTGGCCAATCAGTGATCACATGCAAAGTAGTAAGCAAGATGTCACTTGTGACATCATTGCTTACTACGTGTGAAATCTGTGAATGATCACAGAGGTCACATGGTACAGGGCTATTCACAACAGCCTTGTACCATGTGACAAGCTCTGACCAATCACAGCTCACACAGTATTTCTCAATGGCTGCAAGAATGCAGACAGAAAGAGAAATGATTGCTTTTACATCCTATATGGGTGTAAAAGCAATCACTGAAAAAAAAAAAAAAAAATCATCACCACCCCCCACAAGTAGTACAGTGACACTGTACTGCTAGGGTGACAGTATGTAAAAAAAAAACAAACATAAATAATAATATAAAAAAATAAAATAAAAATGTAAAAAAAAAAAAAAAAAGTTTAAAAATTATAATTTTTGGTTATAAACTAATTTGGCATATTTTTTTTTTTTTTACTAAAAAGATAACTGAATATATTTTGGCCAAGATTTATGATGAAATATTATTTATTTGCAAAATTTTATAAGAAAAAACACTTTTTTCAAAATTTTTGGACTTTTTCATTTATATAGCAAAAAAAAATAAAAATCCCAGCGGTGAATTAAATACCACCAAAATAAAGCTTTATCTGTCTCAAACAAATG